GAGCCACCCAAAGGCATCCATAGCCACATTCCTAGAACCCGTGACTGTTATGTTTACATGGCAAAGGGAACTTTGCAAAAGAAATTAAGGTCAAGGATCATAAGATGGGATGATTATCTTGAATAATACCAGTGGGCTGTATCTAATCACATGAGTCCTAAAAAAGTGGAAAACCTTTCCTGGCTATAGTCAGAGAAAGAGATGTGAGGGCAGAAGCAAGGTTAGAGAGATGTGACACTGCTGCCTTTGAAGACAGAGGAAGATGGCATTGAGCAAAGAAATGTGGGTGATCTCCAAAAGCTAGAAAAGGCAAAGAAATGGGTTATTCCCAACGGTCTCCAGAAAAGAATATATATGTATGTTTAAAATGAAAATATTAGAACAAACATATCATATGTTTAAGTAGTTGTCTATTTTATTTGTTATAGACCCATCTGGACTCACATATTACTAATTTATTACTTAGTTCAGTCCAGTCACTCATTCGTGTCCAAATCTTTGTGACCGCACGGACTGCACAACGCCAGGCTTCCCTGTCCATCACCAACTACCGGAGTTTATTCAAACTCATGCCTATCGAGTTGGTGATGCCATCCAACTTATTGAACATACAGCTTCAGTCAAAACTGATTGAGACTTGCTGATTTGTTTAAGGAAGTAAAAAGTTATTTAGATTCAAACTGGTCCCACGAATTGAGCTTGAGAAAAACATAAACTGTATTTATTTCACAACATTGATATATTCTGAACTCGATAAACTTGCAAAATTTGAAGCCCTGAAGTCACATTCACGTAAAAGATCCACAGATCATGATGAGAGTTAACTTTGCTTTTTTTCCTGGTTATTTTCATTGCATCTGAATTATTATTAAGCATTTACCCTATCAACATAGCTCAATAACAAAAGCTCCAAACTAATCTGAAAAGCAAGTCAGACCCACCAAATGAAACACAACACTCCTTAAACTAATAAGTTGAAGACTTTGGTATGAGAGTTGTCCTAAAATATTTGAGCAAACTCTAAGAAAGGTTTGAGTTCAGCTAGTTTCAGGAAAGTACATTCCCTTTCATTACAGCTACTGAAACAGTTATAGAGAAGCATTCTTTGTGATAGAAATCTAGAGTAAAAGTAAACCTGGAAATTTGTTCTGATAATATACTCCACAGTGGTTCCTGCTGTTTAATTCCAATATTCATTGGCTTGCTCATATGCTCATATTAGGCCCAAAATTCTGCACTTGTATATAAAAAGGAAGTATTATACTGATTTTGGATGCTCTTTCATAATGTTATAAGCACAGATTTGCTTATTTATAGGTTGTACTTATCAATAAAATATTAGTATGTCATGCATATAAGTAGGTTTCTGATCCTATAGACCACCACTGGATAACTTTAGCTTCTCGTGGTCTCATCTCTATACCAACATGAGGGCAGCTCATACCAGACAGTATCCACATACACACACTAAGTCTTTCATTCCCTGAGAAAAAAAGTGCCTTCCTCAACAAATATTTAACCTTATGCCCTAGGAAAAATGAACATATAAATATTCTTAGATCACCCAAAGAACAAGCTTTCTCACCTCTGCGTGCTTCCTTTCCTGTTCTCTTGTTCTCACCATTAAACCTCCCTACATTTTCTCCACAGTTTTCATGTAAATATAATAAATAAATACAAATTAAATGCTTTGGGCACATTGTCAATTTAATTGTAAAAGTTGAGATGAAGCAAGCACTAATTCAATTTACCTCTCTCCAAATAGTAATTACTGAACACCTGCTACCTGAAAGGCACAGTGGTAGGGCCAGAGATACAGCCCCTGCTCTCCTATAGCTTCTGACCAGTGGAGAAGACAAATAGGTAAACACAGGAATTCCAACAAGAATGAGAGCTGTAAAGGGGATAGTGCCATGAAGGAGAGCTATTAAGTAGGGTGTTTGCACTCATTTACCCAAAGGAGAGATAAGGAAACATGGGAAAGAGAAGAAGGAAGAAGAAAAGTGTCCATCAATCATGAAGAGTAGTGCAATCTAATGAATTAAATAATGGAAATATTTGAATTCTTACAATTAAGTCTACCTTTAAAAGATGAAAATTAAAATAATATCTGGACAAGTTAAAAAAAAAGCTACTTACCTTTGATCTCAATTATTTGGATGCTATAGATGGAAAAGTCTTTCCACTTCACTCATAATAGAGAACTTACCTTTCTTAAACCAAAATATCTAACAGAAAGATATTAGTAACATAAATAAGTTTTGTATATTTGACAAATGGGCCTTGAAACTGAACATGAGATTAAAACCTCATTAAAAAAAAAAGCAGAAGACAAAAATTTTCATATTTTTGCACCTTACTTAGCATATTTGATACCTAGAATAGATACTTTTTAAAAGACCCCCTCCTCTATATGACAAATTACTCTTCAGTGATAATCATTATTTTCCTGATTGGCTCCTTAACTTTAAAGCAATTGACAATTTCAGAAGAGAAACAGATTTCAAAGTTATTATTCAAATTAAATAAATAATTTCATGTATGAAATTTTCACTTACCTAGAAAATTATTACCTCCTGCAATTTATACTGTTTCATTGTTAGAATTTTAAAATTAAAATAAAAATTCCAAGTGATCACATGAAATAACAGAATTAAAGTAATTCTATTTCTAGCTCTTTGTCTTTACAATCACTGTGTCATCCTTGTCCATACTGAATCTGCTGTTTCAATCTATAAAGAACATAATGTTTATTAAAGGCTAATTATAAAAATGTGCTAATTTGAATTATACATACATATATATTATTAAAACTCAACAATAACCACTACAATGATTTAGGATTTAGAGAATTTGTGAAAATTTGTGAAATTTTTTGTGAAAAACATTATCACAGACTTTGAGAATTTTTGGTGCAGAGCAACTTTTAATTGGCTTTATTATTTTTATAAATTTCTAGAGGTGATGCACCTTCTCAATGATTGCACCCAAGGCAGAATGCTCCCGTAACTTCACTCTCTGTATGAAAAGTTTTTAACCCAAAGTTGAAGAAAGCTACAAAATCAACACTACTTTTAAGTGATACATGTTTATTATATACAGGAACAGCTTCAGTGGCCTGTAACTGGGCAAAGGTCACCATGTTCAGAATGGAGCCCCATGCTTGGATTTCAGTTTTGAAATTCTTAAGAATCTTTGAATTTGTGTATTTAAGTGAAGTCTGATGGGGCAATAAAGCATATGTCCTGGACTCACAAGCAGTCCTGACTTCCAGTGCTTCAAGGAACAGATCCTCAGCCAACTGTTCCCAACCCAGCAATTGCTACCACCCTCCACTCCTGGTGAGGGCCTCAGTACAAAGCAGGAAGGGTGGGAGTCATGGGTAGGGGTACAAAAGTATATGGGAGTGTCTATGTGCTCCTGCAAGTATCCCTGTGCCCTAGAGAACCAAACATTAAATAGCAAATAAAAATAACCGTTCTTGGGTCAATCAAGACTGTTAAAAAAGGTAAAAGCTTTCATTTTTTCCCCTGCTTTTGAACAGGCCTTATATTTTCACTTTGCACTGGGCTCCACAATTATGTAGCCACCCTTTCCTATGTATATAGGTGAGTATGTGCATGTGCATGCTATGTTTGTATTTGAAAGAATAACTTTATCTATATTTAATAAAATTATTTTACCTATAATTTTATAATTCATAGATAAAATAAACTTATATATATGTAACTTTACCATATTTTATCTACAAAATGAAAATAATAATTTTAATCATTTATACTTCAAGGGAGAAGGAATTTCAACCCAATATTATCTTCTGAGTTTCTTAGAATTGGTGAATTCCTTTTAAAATCTTTCACTAAAAATATACTATATGCTAAAAATGGTGATATTCCAGCTTCAGAAACAGCACATGACATTACTAATATGTTCTTATTAACAAAATCTGCTTTGCAACTTCGATTTCTTGACAGGCTAGAGATTTTTGGTCAGGAGCCAAAGTCATCAAATATTAAGAGTATTGAGATACATCAAATGTGTTGAAGTATCCTTAAAACTCACTAACTAATTTTAGCACATTTCAATTACTCACATAAATTACTTATACTGAACAATCCTAAATCTTCAACCTCAAATGTAAAAAATGGTATGCTTTGTAACACATCATTTTCAAAATGTACCTTCATAACTCTTGAATTATCCCACTTAAAACAGATGAACAAAATATTTCTATTATACATTTTTTTCTTTTCTTTACCTCTATTATTTAAGGAGTAATACCCATGATACTGAATATATAGCTGACGATGACCTTAAGACTTTCTTATTTTAAAAATGAAACTAAGTAGTCATAGATACTCCTTAGGTGGGTGTATATAAATATATATATTAGATATATATATATAGATATATAAAGACTACATCATAAATGATACCAAAAGAACCTTGAAACAAATATTTTTGCATTTGTCTAAATTCAGACATCATTTCTAATATTCCTGAGACAGAGCTAAAATTGCAAGAAATCTATGACATTATATCATATTTGAAAAAAGTGCACAGCAAGGAAGATCCAGAGCAGCTGAAAATAAATACAAATTTTTAAAAATGTCCCCTGATCCCTATAGCATTGACTTTACCCAATACCATCTAAATTTTAACTCTTATTCAACAACGTAATTCTGAGCAACCTGCCCTTTTCTTTGTCTTCTTTTCATCCTTTAAATTGATGTGCAACTCCAGTCCTGACTCCCTTCTCCAACTAGAATTTAGATACTGTATCAAGCAAAACAATCAAGTATAAATAACCTTCTGGTTGAATTCCATCCCTAAAAACTCCTATCTCCTTGCTGTACCCTGGGAGCAGTTCATGCAGAAGCCAATCCAAAAGCTCAATCCATGTAATATCACGTACTCATTCACAATTTATCACGTTTTGTACACACAAAGAACCTCGGCACATTCCCAGTGTATGGGGTCAGGGAAAACCAGTCACCTACATTGCTCATGTACTCTGAAAGCAGGTCCTGGAGAGCCTGGCGAATGGCGTTGCATTCTGCAATGATCCGCTCCCGATGGAAATCTCTTGTGCAGGAAGAGTCGGCCAACAGAGCAGCCCCACTGATTATGGCTTCAAGGCGTTTCTCTAGGGACGGTCTTATTTCCTCCTCAGTCACTGTGAGTGGATCCAAGACAATTAAACTCTAAAGGAAAAACATATTTCGATGGTTAGAACTCCATGATATTCTATTTTCTTCTTATTATTATTGTTTTCACATTTAGAATGCATACCTGATGAGAAAGAGAATTGTGTTTTTACTGCCTCACCCAGTTCACGCATCATTCTATAAAGCAATTATTATTCACCTGAGTAACAAAAATCGGGAAATTATGAGAACTGGTTCTAGTGTCAGTCAAATCTGTTTGCAAATCTTGTCCTTTCCACTCATCAATGGTGCGGGTTCACTCGGGTGTCTTAGGTACTGTAAGCCTCACGTTCCTGATCTGTAAAACTGGAATACTAACATTGTTTATCTCATAAAACTGCTGTAAGAATGATATCAGTGATTAATATAGTGTCTGGCACATATTAACTGTTCTTTACAATAGTCATTTTCATATAGCACGTCATTGTTTACAAATGTTTTCACCTATATTATCTCATCTTGACAACACTATAAAGAGGTAGGCAGCAAAGATATTGTTAACCATGCATTTCAATCAATGGTGAAAGAGGCTGAGACTGTCTTACCCAAGGTCATTAAGCTAATAGATGGTGAAGTTCAAGCAAATATTCAGGTCTTATAATACCGAATTCAATAATGTTTTCATTATGCCTCACTATAAATCAAAATTCTAATTAACCTTAATACAAACATATCAAAGAGAATTCTGAATTTTAATTATTCATTTTGAAAGTAAAATTTCATCTTCCTGTTGATTACAACTTCCAGCCATTTCCCACCACTGGAAGCTGACATGGTATTTTTAAGGTTTCCATTAGATATGTCTTCAGGAAATAGAAGTCAAGATAATCTACAGACTTTGAAGAAAGCGTAAAAAATATGAGGCTCTAAGGGTCCTTTATTTAAATACAACAAGAGAGGAAACTTTTCAAGGTTTGGGCATAATGTGATAATTAGAGAAGGAGTATCAAATAAAAGCTCTCTGTAGATGCTTTAACATAAAATGAAATCATATAGTGATCTTCAAAATGTGTGTGTACATGTGAGTCTTTACACACAAAAACACACTAAAAATCATTGATCTTCAGAGTATGCAGTCATATATGTATATTTATATATATATATTTACATATATATGTAGAGAGAGAGGTATTTTGTGTGTATATTATGTATAGGTATAATCTCACATTGATGATTGCACTATATCATTTTATGATAAATAATCTGGAGATCAAAATATCCAGGATAAAATTTTAAAAGCTACAGCTCCAGACCAAGATAGGAAGAGAAAATCATTAGAGAGAAAATAAAATTTTGAAATAATAACACAAAAAGAAAAAAATAGTGCTGTGTAATGTTCATATATTATATAATATAATTTAAAATATAAACTAGAAAAAGATCTTATAGAAAATTGGTTAAATATCTTAAATTTATCTCCTCTGTCTTCAAGGAAAATTTCTACTTCTCCCTCTCTGTCCCTCTCTCACTTTCTTCCCCTAACCACCATTTATTTTCAAGGCTAGTGCTCGCTTCGGCAGCACATATACTATTTTCAAGCCTAACTTCTCTGTCTGTGCTCTGATCTCAAGCCCTCTTCAGTTGTTCCTTTCTTATGTTTTGAGTTCATCTGAAGAGCCTAGTATGTGCCAGATAGTAGGAATTGGTAACAAAATGGAGAACATCCCTGCCCTCTTCACAGGGCTCACAGCCTAGCCAGCCAGTGAAGTCGTTCAGTCGTGTCCAGCTCTTTGCGACCCCATGGACTGTAGCCCACCAGGCTCCTCCATCCGTGGGATTTTCCAGGCAAGAGTGATGGAGTGGGTTGCCATTTCCTTCTCCAGGGGATCTTCCTGAACCAGGGATTGAACCCAGGTCTAGAGGTACTGACAAATATTAATCAAATAATATCACACAAATATAGAATTACAATGTGATGTGTTGTTGTTATTCAGTCACCAAATCATATCCAATCTGAAATGAAAGAATTGAAAGTTAAGAATTAATTGACCAGGCATACCTCTGGGCCATTTGGTGTGTAATCAAGATGATTAAAGGCAAAGCAGATATGAGTTCCAGAGAACTACTGGATTCTAAGGGAGGGTTTTGGATTTCGACAGAACAATGGAATTGAAAATTTTGAGGATATCTTATACAGAACTTATTTTATCAGATCAACTTAAACAGGTATCTGGGTTATAATTATGTGAAACTTAAAGCAAGAGGCATAACACTCTGAAACCTGAAAACAAACTAAAGAGACAGATTCTATCTCTAGAATAATATAGTAAAAGCATCCAATTTGAACTTAAAAGGACACAAAACTACCTAAAAGGCTGAGAGTTGTATAATCAGAAACAGAATATATGCTGCGCTAATCTATATAATAGTACTATAGGAAAATCAGATCCTGTAAAAAAATGATCAAATTGTAAAATCATATGCACATTCACAGGTATTTTAAAATTTAAAAGATGTATATGACCCTGGACTGAGAGTGTGGTAACCAACCCAATTTAGAATGCAACTAAATCTTTTACTGGAGTAGCTATAGTTTAAATCGTCATTGCTAATCTTTTTTTTTTTTCTGTTGTACCCTAAAGCCTATCTTTCAGTAAAGAACAAATAATGTAAGGGTTATTTTATTCAATATGAGTTATGGTGAAAGAAAACCCTGTAGCCTTGAGAAACACAGAAATGTTAACATTTGAGAAGATTGAGATGATGCCTCTCATGTATTTGGAAGTGAACAATGTGAGGTGAATCTATACAAAAATAAGTTGGAAAGATTGCCAGAATATATTGTAGAATAAAAAAAATCTCAGAATAATATGCACAGTGTATATATGTTAGAAAAAAACAAGCACAGTAAAATACTTGATATTTTCTCTGAGTATATATATATATAAGTATATTGGAGGCTAGGAAAAAGTTTAAGTGCCATGACAATTGCTATCTCTGAAAAGAACTGGATTGGAATGGTGGTCAAATTTTTAATTTTTAAATTATAGCCGAATTGTGTATTACTTCTGAAATTGCAAACTAATTGAAAATAAAAATTCTTAAAAATTTTAAAAGAGGAAATGGCAATTATGAATCAAACATGTATTATTATTTTGGATTCTAGAAATTAATAAACTATTTTGGAATCATAACAGAAAGATATAATGTTCCCAGTATTTATCAGAATGAAATATATCAAGTTTTTATATCAATTAACTTGAAGGATTTTAATTTTCCTATGTTGTTTCATCATTACAAATATGTTTAGCTAATATATGTCTTTTAAAAAATAAAGACATGTGACCTCAAAGTACCAGGGCACTCTTTTTTCAGTGAGCTTAGAAGTCAGAACACCCTGAGTATGAATCTTGCTCTTTCACCCACATTGAGAAAGTGATTTAAACTGCCTAAGACTGTATTTCATTCATGTAGAGTGGGGAAAATAAAACCTGTGCCTTTCATATAAGAGTTTATATAATGTAGCTTTATAACTATTTTAAGAACTGGTGGGATAGGTCCCATCTCCATTTCCTTGTTACTATTATTTTTACCTTTATATGCACTACCGTCTATGCCAGATGATCAGCACATAGAGTACTACAAAGAAAGCTACACTTGCTAAAACAGAAATCTCTGTATATTACACAGATGTGTATCATATAGTCATTCGTTCTACTATAAATATTTATTAATCATCTAATATAGTTCAAATTCTAAGCAAGACTTTGGTTACGCCTTACCAGGACATATAGGAAGTTTAAAAACATCTTAAACAAGCCAAAGCATAAAACCAATAAGCTTGGAAAAAGTTTTCTTAGTTTTAATAAACATGATGTAATAAACCCTATTCATCATTCAAACACTCTATATTCTGATGACATAGATGCGATTTACATTCAAAACACTAAAAGTCTTACACCTATTCTCAAAGTGAAATTGCCTATCAAAAGAGATGTGGCTATGATTATAATCAAGTATTAACATGCTTCACAAAAACACATGCAGTGCTTCAAGTTGAGAGTAGCAGAAGTAATAACCATAAAGCATAAATAATGTTTCCCAAGCAACTATATTATCAGTCTTCAGAGTGAGTGATAAAAATGGAACAAAATTTCTCCTTAAGATTATCAACAGAATATGCTACTGAGAGAACTCACAGGCTCTCCTTTGTCTGGTATATCCCTTACTATAATGTGTTTCCACTTAAATAACCTAAAGAATGGAACTTCAGATATTAAAAAATGTAAAAAGGCAAAATGTGAAAAATAAACCATAAATTAGCAAGATTATCAATAAATATAATTAGTAAATTATTAGTGTAAATTACAAATTTCACTACATATTCATTTATATAAAACCAAAATGTATATAACTCATATTCTATTGTATATTCGCTACAACAGAAGAATATTTTAGAAAGCCATTCAATAGGCTTGTTAAACAAATTAGATGTATGCATGCTACCTTAAATTTTTTCCTCTAAATTATAGGTGAAAAACACTTAAATAGCCCAATGAGCAATATGATGGTGGCTTTACCAGAACACCAATAAATATTTTCAATTATCTAATTAATTTCACCTGAAGTAGTAACCTCTTCTAGACATATTTCTGTCAAGAGTTCAACAATTCAGTCCATGCACCGCACCACATCATGGATTGTTTGCTTCAGTTTTTATCTGGTTATATCAATAATAAAATAAACCTTCAAAGATTCTTCTGTTTTCAAAATCTCTGTTTAAGAGAATTTTAACATAAGCACTTCCACGTTGTTTTCATTATATTACTGAATATAATATTGAATAAATCTTAGTATATATTCTTAACAGAATATGCTAATTAAGGCAACATGTTTCAGTGAAGAAACAAGTTAAGTCTGTTATCTATTTTGAAATATGTGTTTACATGTTTGTTTTATATCTACCCATAGTCTGTTTTCAAGCCATATGTAAAGAGAAAGTACTAATAATATATAAGCAATGATGATTACCTTATTCTTCTACACTGAACATACAG